AGGTACTCGGGAAGCTGAGGCAGGAGAATCACTTGAACCTGGGAGGCAGAGGTTGCAGTGAGCCGAGACCACGCCACTGCACTCCAGCCTGGACAACAGAGCAAGACTCCATCAAAAAAAAAAAAAAAAAAAGAATTAAACATTTCTCAAAATTAAAAAGGTAAAAATAAGTTTTTGGACAAATGCTAAGAGAAAATATCATCAGGAACCCTAAATGGAAGCACTAGTACTAGAAGTCCTAGCTAGAGAAATCAGACAAGAGAAAGAAATAAAGGGCATACAAATTTGAAAAAAGGAAGTCAAATTATCCTTGATTGCAGATAATATGATCTTGTATTTGGAAAAACCAAAAGACTCCACCAAAAAATGATTAGAACTGATAAACACATTCAGTAAAGTTGCAGGATACAAAATCAACATATAAAACCCAGTAGCATTTCTATATGCCAACAGTGAATAATCTAGAAAAATAAGAAAGTAATCTCATTTACAATAGCTACAAATAAAGTAAAATAAAATACCTAGGAATAAACTTATCTAAAGAAGTGAAAGATCTCTATAATGAAAGCTATTAAACATCGGAGGACACAAAAAAATGAAAAAAAATTCCATGTTCATGAGTTGGAAGAATATTGTTAAAATGTCCATACTGCCCAAAGCAATCTACAAATTCAACATAATCTCTATCAAAATACCAATGACATTTTTCACAGAAACAGAAAAAATAATCCTAAAATTTATATGGAACCACAAAAGACACAGAATAGTCAAAGCCATCTAAGCAAAAAGAACAAAACTGGAGGAATCATAATTATCTGACTTTAAATTATACTACAGAGCTACAGTAACCAAAACAGCATGGTACTGATATGACCATAGATGCACAACCAATGGAACAGAATAGAGAAACCAGAAACAAGTCCACAGACCCACAGTGAACTTATTTTTGATAAAGGTGCCAAGAACATACACTGAGGAAAGGACAGTCTCTTCAATAAATGATGCTGGGAAAACGGGATCCACATGCAGAAGAATGAAATTAGACCCCTCATTTTTCACCATATACAAAAATCAAATCTAAATGAACTAAAGACTTAACTCTAAGATCTGAAACGATGAAACTACTAAAAGAAAACACTGAAAGTAGGGTCTCACAGAGATATTTGTATACTTATGTTCATAGCACCATTATTCACAATGGCCCTAAAAGATGGGGGCAAACCAAGTGTCCACTGAGGAATAAATGGATTAAAAAAATATGGTATACAGCCATACAATGAAATATTATCCAGCCTTAGAAAAGAAGGAAATTCTGACACATTATGACAATTTTATAAGATAAAAAACTTCTGGAGATTGGTTGCACAACAACGTGTTATACACTTAACATTACTGAACTGTGTGTACACTTAAGATGGTAAAGATAATTTTATGTCATATGTATTTTACCACAATTAAACATAAAATTTTAAAAATTTTAATGGTAGAATGTAGGTATTAGATAAATAAGTGTTCATGGTAAAATTCTTTCAACCTTACTGTATATTGGAAAAGAAATAAAAATATAGATCAAAATTTCTCTCATGAACAAAATCCTAATGCAAAAATCCTAAAGAAAATATTAATAATTTAAATCTAAAGAAATGAAAAGGAAAATACATCACAACCAAGAATGGTTCATTCTAACAATGCAAGAATATTTCATAGTTTTTAAAAATCAATTCATCACAATATCAGAATATTTTTATTCAGTGTAAAATAATTCTTATTTCTCTTTGGACTTTTTGACTATCAGTTACTTAGAAGTATGTTATTTTCAAATATCAGACGGTTTTCTGTCTGATATTTGATATTATATCAAATATCAGATATAATATCTATATCTATAGATATAATATCTATTATTGATTTCCAATTTTATTCCATTGTAATCAGAGAGCATTTTTGTATTATTTGGAATCTTTTATAATTTATTTGAAACTGGTCTGGGCTCAGTGACTCATACCTGTAATCCCAGCACTTTGGGAGGCCGAGACAGGCAGATTGCTTGAGGTCAGGAGTTCAAGACCA